TAAAACTTACTATTTAGCATCAATAAATCCCGTTTTCGACGGACTTTTATCTGGTATAAAATTCATTACTTACCCTATTCGCAATCATAGCGTTACCCCCTGAAAAAACATTTTTACGCACCCTGTACATGAAAAAAGATTTATAAGAACAAATGTGATGAATTTTTTAAGTTTGCAACGAATCAGATTGTAATAATATAGGGTTTTTTTGGGCCATTTTTCAGTTCTTCTACTAACCATCAGTCTCTGTTCTATCCAGAAATCTAGTTACCAAAATTTTTTTCTGACTTCAGCATCTCTCTCTTTCGACGGTTAATGTCTTCCAAGAAAGCTGTTCGTTACTAGAAGTGTAAACTTTTCTCTAGAAAATACCTTTTATAGAATTGATCAAACGTATAACAAACAGCTTGACAAAAATTATCTCTTCTCGTTTTAATACTGGTTACTTGTGTCATGACTGGTACATCAAACGATTGTTTTAATCCATCATTTGTATATAATGTATAACTATCACCAATTTCACTTAAATCGAATATTCGAAACTTCGATTCATCAAACGGTGATAATTGAGTGCCGTCAACCATTTGAACCCCATCAAATCCCGATTTAATCTGGTCTAATTCAGGCAAATTTGAATCCGATAAAGAAGTTCGACCCACCATTAACAACAGTACCGATATAAAGCAAGGGGTCGCCCTAGTCATGGCTCAAAAATATGTTGGATAAACGAAATCAACGTTTAGCTTTTCTTTACAAGAATGGAGATATGATCGTCAACGAAAAGTATATTTGGTTTACTTAGATTGGAATTTTATGGTGATTCCATGCGGCATAAAGCGATTATTCACACTGCAAATTTTTTTCCTTTGATTCTGAATGTATTTATTCAAGGTAAATGTTTTTTCCAACTTCGTTTGTATTACTTCTTCTATTCTTTCGATAATTACATTGCACGATTCATTAGTTTACGAATGGGAGATGAATGAAGAATTATTGTAACTATTTCCGTTCAAATGACTGTGAACGCTAAGACCATTCGAATTCATGTGAATGGCAATTATTGCAATCACTCGTATGTGTTTATACCAAGGATTTGAGACACCAACGTGAAAAATTCGCGAAAGAGTCGGGGTGCTATTCGCTGAAATTTCATGACACGAAAAATTCGCTTTTATTATTGTTAGTTTGATTGTTAGTCGGTTAACCCTTTGACTTCCGGTGACGTATAAATACATCTAGTTGCAATTATTACACGACCATAATAGCTAGAATAAATTTGAAAAAAGATTTGAACAGATGAAAGAATTTCCGATCTCAGGATATGTATACAAAGGTTCCATCAAAACTCCTGAAATCAGGGTCTGCAGAAAACCCAAATCTCAAAAAACTAAGTCCCGGAGTTCAGTCTAGAATTCTTTGCAAATAAGTTGATCGTGTAGAGCAAACATTTGTGAAGAAAATGAGACGTCTTCGAGCTCCTTACGACATTTTCTCATGGCACAGCATTCAATTTATACAAGGCCCTAAGGGCGTATCTTCTTGTTTTCTCGTTAGTTTTGCTGCGACGGGGCCTTCCATAAATTGAATGCTGTGCCATGAGAAAATGTCATAAGGAGCTCGAAG